TCTACAGACTGTCGGTTCACACCCCATTACAAGCCAGCAAAACATCCACAAAACAAAGAAAGGTCTGTCACAGCCAAAAAATACACTCCAGACACGCCGCTGGCACTAGAGGCACAGCATGGCCACCTAGTAACGGCCCCGACCACTGCCGCTCGACCTGACTGGAAAAAACCGTAGCAGGAAGCTAGCGAAGTCGTAGTATATATCGTCACAAACAGAACTGCCCGGTAAACCGTATATATATCATCACATGAATATGAGAGCGCAAAAGCGAAAAAAAAAGGAAAAAGGAATGAATTCGTTTTTTTAATCTTCTTTCTTACAACTCCCCCTGTTTATAAAGAACCTCTTTTGCGTACAAGGCCGCCCACGTGGATGTATGTTGAGTGGCGGCTGCCCCCACCCCCGTGTGTCATATCGACCCACTTGCACACAGCCAGAAGGCAAAGAGGCAAAGAAAAGAGGAAGGGAACAGCCAAATAATACAGAACAGGGGGCAACAAAACAAATCCCAGATGACACGTCCCACATGCAAGCACCGCCCCAACTCACAGGCCAAACGACGGGACGAGACCAACCAGGATATCAAAACATTCTTGTCTGCAAAGAAAGCAAACAGAAAGGCTCCAATCCCAGTGTGACAACCAAAAAGAAATAGAAGACAATCCCGGATGACGATTCCCACATACAAGCACCGCCCCGCGCTCAAAAGGCTGAACAACGGGAAACAATCAACCAGGATACCCAATAACAGAATCAAAGCAGACACTTAATCACAATCCTAGATGACAAGTCCCACATGCAAACACCGCCCCCGGCAACTACAGGCCAAACGACGGGACAAGACCACACAGGATGTCATACCAAAAAAAAGAGGACCCGCATGACCAGTCCCACATGAAAGCACCGCTACCAGGATCAACCAGGCAACATCACAAAGTTATCACAGCGCAAAAGCGAAAAATAACAACGGCTAGCGTTGGACAGTTCTGAGGGTTGGGGGGTTGGGGGGTTGGGAGAGTAATGATAATTAATTAAAGCTAGAAGGTAAATTAGGAGCAAAGGAATGTAGGGCAGACATCGGTATACAAAGAGACCGATTTGTTAAGCTAAACCGGCAGAAGCTGCCGGGATAACTCTGGGATTTGTTCTGAGGGTCCCGGGCGTCGATCCAAATGTTGACGGAAATGAATTTGAGTTGCTTTTGCAAAAGAAAAAATAACAAAAGGAACAAAAAGAGATATCAACTCATTTTTTAATAATTTTTATCTTCTTCCTTACACAACTCCCCGTATACAAAGAGACCGATTTGTTAAGCTAAACCGGCAGAAGCTACCGGGATAACTCTGGGATTTGTTCTGAGGGTCCCGGGCGTCAATCCAAATGTTGACGGAAATGAATTTGAGTTTCTTTTGCAAAAGAAAAAATAACAAAAGGAACAAAAAAAGATATCAACTCATTTTTTAATAATTTTTATCTTCTTCCTTACACAACTCCCCCTGTCCAGAACCTCTTGCATACAAGGCCGCCCACGTGGATGTGGTTGAGCGGCGGCTGCCCCCACCCCCCCGTGTGTCATATGGATCCCCCACGCACACAGCCAAAAGGGAACCGCCAAATATAACACAAAACAGGGGGCAACAAGATCCTGGATGACAAGCCCCACATGTAAGCACCGCCCCCAACTTCACAGGCCAAACGACGGGACAACACCACCCAGGATATCAAAACACTCCTGCCTGCAAACAAAAAAAAATCCCAAATACATATCTATTACCTATATATCTCGATGACAAACAAGGGCCATCTGCTGTATATAGATATATGCATTTGGGATTTTTATTTTTTTCTTCAGGCAAGAGTGTTTTGATATCCTGGGTGGTGTTGTCCCGTCGTTTGGCCTGTGAAGTTGGGGGCGGTGCTTACATGTGGACCTTGTCATCTAGTAGGATCTTGTTGCCCCATGTCGTGTTATATTTGGCTGTTCCCTTCCTCTTTTCTTTGCCTCTTTGCCTTTTCGCTGTGTGCAAGTCGGGGATCGATATGACACACGGGGGGGTGGGGACAGCCGCCGCTCAACCTACATCCACGTGGACGGCCTTGTACGCAAAAGAGGTTCTTTATGAACAGGGGGAGTCTTGTAAGTAAGAAAATAAAAATTATTAAAAAATGAATTGATATCTTTTTTGTTCCCTTTGTGTTTTTTTTTCGCTTTTGCGCTCTGATAACTTTGTGATGATATGTATATATACTTCGACGTTGCTTGCTC